CCCCAAACCCCAAAACCCCAAAACCCCAAAACCCCATGTTAACTAAAAATGTTTGAAAATTGTAATATAAAATATGCCGTAAGTAGCTTTCAAACACATCAGTTGAGTTTTCAGCGCAATTTTGGAAATTTTAAGAAATTCAGCAAGGATTTGGGAACATTCGGGTTTTTGTAATAATTTTTGGAGATTTTGAGTGTAATTTTGGGGTTATAGGGAAGAAAGATTTATAGTGATGGTATTGATAATGGTTGTTGTCAGGGTAGCTTTGCAGGAAGACCTTGGAGAGTGCCCGGATGGGTTCTATGGTCAGGACTGAATACCGTGACATAGTTCATGAAAGACCTGTAGTGATCAGGAGAGTTGTGATACATGAGAGGATTATATGTTCAAGGATGAGACGAGTTCTCTTTGAACCTTTTGAGATAGAGGGAGTTATTATGATGAAGTTATTAGTGAATGACAAAGTTGATTAAGCTCCTGCCATCATCAATGAATGCATAGAGATGAATGTCTTCAGTGCGATCCTGATATGCTGTTGGATATAGACACATTGCAATGAGTGTCTGAATGAGGTGATAATAAGTTTTTACTGAATTCATCACAGATCACCATGGGTCGCGTGTGAAGGAGTAATAGTATTTATGTGGACCCTGAAAGCGACAAAGCTGTTGAGTTCGGAACGCTTGAATATCCATATCGTACGATGCAAGCAGCTACATCAGAGATACTGAATCATTATAGCCATAGTGACTCCAACATCACAATCTATACAAAAGATTGCTATCTAAAAATTGACACTTTTTATGTTATGAACATGACATCTTTAAGCATAATAAACCACCCAGACTACCAACTAATGCAAAGGAACGCCAAAATCCAAATCTCCACTTTCTCCCAAGCTGGCATCTCTTCAAAATCAACTCTCCACCTGCTCACGCACACCTCAGCCTCCCCCACCTCCCTCATCACCAAAGGCCACTACACACCCTCCGAAATATCCTCCCTGACCAGCACATACTTCTGCTTCTTAATCTCCAGGTCGAACTTCTCCCTAAACCACATCGACATCTCCGCCTCCAAAGTCAAAAACTGAATCATCGCTTCATATCTCCAGGCCAGCACCATCACTCTCAGTAAGTCCCCGTCAAATCTCAAGAACAAATATGTTCATTTATGGAAGGTCTCACCGAAATTTGTAGAAATTTCGGTAATTTTTAATATTTTACAAGTTTGTACTTGGAAACAAAAGGTTGAAGTGTCACTGAGATTTAGGATTGGGCCATGGATGGGGTATGAGTGGCCAAGAGGGGTGACGGGCATTCCTGGATCCTTTGTATTTCAATGGGAATATCAGTGATTATTTAGTGGAGTGCTGGAAGACTTTTAATTTTTTGTCCTTAGAAAATGTAAAAAAATTATTCATATTCTTATAAATCATCCACTTGGCTTACTTAAAAATTAGAGATCGACCATATTTCGAGTGGGTGTGAAATTAAAGAGGATAGGCGCTCTCCTTAAAATTTTTGATAATTTTATTATTTTCTTCTCTAAATTGGGAATTCTTGGAAAGATAGATTTCTCGAAAAATTCTTAAATTTTTAGGGGAAATTAATTATGAGCATTAACTAGCTTTGACCAGGCTATTAAAACTTCAAGTATGACCCACCATGTATCTGAGTTATATCTAAAACGAGTATTGATTAAAACAAACAAAGTTTGAATTTGGTTGACCATTTATCTAATTCATCGAATCATTGAATCTATCATAAATTTTTCATTAAATTTTAAGCAAGGTCCTAATTTACTGTAGAAAATATAAACTTTGCAAGCACTGGTAATGGGATTATGAGTACAGATCCATTGGGTCTTTATTTGGAGAATATTGTTGTTGACACTTCGTTCACCACGAGGTTTGTTCATACACTTGGCACCAACTGCAATTACCCTGAAGCAAACACTACAAATCCAGTCTTTGCGAAGAACATAAGCCAGATCAACTCTACATCAAACTTTGCATATGGTAGAATTATTGGGTCTGGTTTGCCAGGAAATCATACGATCCAGGATATCGACTGCACCAAGCATTCCTCGAATGGACTTGATGGCTTCGCTTGTCTCTCTTACATCTTGTTTCAAACCTGAATTCCTCAGGACTACTTGCAGGCTATAATGCAGTATCAAAACATTACCTTTGATGCAACTGAGGCTCACTCTAGGGGAGACTTCGTGTTTGGAATTAACTCAGCAACTGATTCTGTTCATTATCGCAAATATGACATAAGATACAGTGACTTTGAGTTCAGTAATTTCAATCAAGAGTCTCCTTACTCGTTGCATCTTCAGTTCGGAATAGGCTCTGAGAAGAACACGCTATCCAACTTTTACTTTAAGAACATATCTAACAGTTTTCCAATTATTGAGAACAGAATCAATGCTGAAATTATTCTACAAAATTTCACAGTTGAGAACAGTCCAAATTTGTATAAGGGTATAGCGATGATTGATACTCCTGGTCACATCAAGATCATGGATGTTAAGATAACTAACTGTAGCGACCAAGGAAAAGACCATAAACCAGCTATAGACATCATTCCTAGATCAAGTTCAAATCTAGTTTTATCTAATCTCTGGGTTCAAGATGTGCAACTTCTAGATTCTGCGTTGGTAAATATCCAATCAAGACCAGCAATGATATCCCTTCAGAATTGTAGTCTGACTGACGTCCAGTTTCATAGTGGAGGGTCTCTATTCTCCTTTCATGCAGCTGGAGCTTTTTCTATTTCCAATTTTACTTTTGAAAGAGTAAGGCCAGGCTCTTTACTTGATATGGACTCTGAGGCATTCATATTCCAAACAATCTACGTCAAGGAAATGAGTGTTGGTGAAATGAAAAACATTACGATTGTTGACTCTGCCTTCACGCTATTCAAAGTAGGCAACATTCTGAACCTCACTACTGAGCAGAGAACCCTGAGCTTAAGCGATGTCAGCTATACTGACACTAATCTCTTAGTAGAAAGGACGTTGATTTCTACCAAGAACATTGATGGTAATGCAAATTTACAAATATCTCTTGTCAGGTTGCACTTTAGTAACCTAAATTTCACTGAAGGTGGAGTTCTGCTTGATCTACAACACCAGCTTCCCCAAGAAGTCGTTGTTGAAGACTCTTCATTCAAAAATATCAGAGCTGGGTCTATCAGTATCATCGGAAGTGCCAACTCAAGAAGTCAAAAGACCAGAGTATTATTCACTCGATGCATATTTGAAGAGTTGCACATTTCATTAAAATCTTTCCTATTTGGAGAGCAAAATGCGATAATAGGAGTTTCACAAAGTTCATTCTTAGGCATCACCTCAAGCCTTAAAACTTCTAGGATCATTAGTGCTGAGAACACAGTCACAATGAATCTAGATTCTGTGATATTTAGAGAAAACTCAGGTGTCAAAGGAGCTCTGATCCTCGTTTCGACTGAATCATTTCTTTCATGAAACAACTGAACCATAACAAATAACTTTTCAATCAGACGTGGACTGTTTGGAGTGGAATCATTTGGAATCATTGAGATATCAAATAGTAAAATCTATGACAATTACGGAATTGAGACCATACTCGGAACAATCCTCTTAGGTGTTGATCCATCTGTGATCTCTAATACATCAATTTACAAAAACTCAATGATCAAGAAAGAAGATGTCCTAAAGGAAGTCAATACTCAATGAACTTACCTTTGCTTCTTATCCCTTGAAATGAAAGATTACCTGTATACTACAAACTTAAGTAGCATAAATGAGTCAGAATACTTACTCGAAGTGATACAGGGAAGTCTCCAAATTTCAGACTTCACCAGTATTTCTGACCAAGCTCTAGTCATAAAATCGTTCTTGGCAACAGTAACAATTGTAGATTCGGCTATTTCTGGCTTAGTATTCAATTCCCCTCCTCTAAATATCTTGTCGTCAACTCTGGTTCTCCAGAACTGTACGGTCGAAGATATTGATGATCTGAGCGAACGCTCCAGTTTGGTAATAACAAATTCTGCAAAAGCTAATATTACAGATGTGAGATATGCCAATGCAAACACCCAAATTCTAAGTGGATTTAGCTCTGATATTTCTATTGAAGATGTGAGCTATGTGAATGTATCCACTCCTCAAGACCTCATTTACATCTCGTATTGCACTTCATTCCTGCTCAGGAATATTTCACTTGCTAATGTTACTGCTGGAGATAGACGAATGTTGATTGTGAACGATTCTGAGAACATTATTGTTGAAGACATCACTCTTTCTGGGCTCGATAAAAGATTTATAGAGTTTAGAGGCTCAAATATAATAAGAATATCAGGCCTCAACATCTTTGATGGCATTCAGGTACTCAGATTCACTAACTGAAATGTACAGATTATATCTAATTCTGAGTTCAGTGGAAATATGCGAGAAGGTTCTGGAGGAGTCATCTCAATGTTTGACAGCCGAGTTCATATATTCAACACAACTTTTATCAACAACACCGCTGTTGAAGGAGGAGTTGTCTATTTCTACTGAAATGACAACACCAGCTGATCTCTTGAGATAGACTCATGTCACTTTGAAAACAATACAGCCACAGTTAGAGGAGGTGTTGTTTACTATAACTATAACAGGCCTATTATCACAGATAGTGTCTTCTCTGAGAATTATGCTCCTTACGGAAACGAATCTGCTAGCTACGCAGTCAGAATTAGTCTTCTGAACTCAACATCAAGTGAAGACATTGTGCTGGATAATATTGGCCCAGGGATCAAGATTGATACATCTTTGCATTTTGCATTATTAGACATGGATGATCAAATTATGAACTTGCAAAGTGCAAGCACTATTATCATTCAACCAAAGAACTCATCAATTTCCTTAATCCAAGGCACCAATGTAGTGCTTCTCCAGAATGGAACTGCTATGTTTGATAGCATCGCAATGCAGGTTGACAGGAAGTACAAAACAGCTACTTACTTAGTCACATCGAAAGCAATCAACAGGGCAAAAGTTGCCAAAGTGTTCGGAACTCCCTTCAGGCCCATGCAGATAGTCACCAACTTTAGAGACTGAAAACCAGGAGAACGCATTGATGAAGACACTTGCCTAGAATGCCCAGCAGGCACATACTCCTTAACATGGAATTCAACGGAGTGATTTCAGTGCGATATAAATGCTGTTTGTCAAGGAGGGAACAAAGTGTCTTTGAAGTCTGGACACTGGAGACAATTCCATAACTCTACTAAAATTGTGGAGTGAAGTAATAAAGAAGCATGTCCTGGAGGGTTTTCAGATGATACTATAGTCCCTACCAAATGAGCCCCAGGCTACACAGGAAACTTATGATCTCAATGAGTGGTAACTGGCAGTACCAAGTATGAGAGAGTTAATGATTTTGAATGAAGAAAATGACCGAACCCAGTAATGAATGCAATCCAGGTGATTGGAATGATGATCATAGTATTTGGCTTCTTTGTTCTTATGGCCGTAATCAATGCCAGAAAGATGAATGAAAGCTCAATATCAGTGCTTCTCAGAATACTGACGAACTACCTGCAACTTCTGACGGTATCCACATCCATGACTAATGATTACCCTTCGATTATTATATCTATCTTTGGCCCAGCTAAGACATTTGGAGGATCTGCAGGCGTTTTCATGTCTTTTGATTGATTCATTAGTGATACTGAGGTGACTGGGCCATTCGAATCAAATGCCATTTTCAAGCTGTTCTTGTTAGCTTTCTTGCCTCTGGTGCTATTCTGAGCAGTCAGTATAATCTGGTTAATCCTGTACTTAATCAATAGGAAATGGGTGAAAGATTTGAAGAGGAGCTTAATTATCTCATTGATCACAGTTATCTTCATTCTACACCCAAAGTTAACAGAGAGAAGTATCAGTATATTCAGGTGAGTAAGCATTGATGAAGATGTCCAGGTTGTTAGCATAGACACCAATATTGGATGATACTCTTACACTCACATCAAATGGTCTTTGCTCATTGCAATGCCTATGATCATTATCTGGGTGATATCATGTCCATTAATCGTCCTAATTCTTATTCTCAAGGGAAAGCATCAAGATAAGAATGGAGCAGTCAGGCGATATTTTCTAAACATGTACCAAGGCCTCAAGCCAAATGCTGTATATTGGGAGTTTGTGAATACGCTCAGGAAGATCATCATCTTGCTTTCCTTGCTGATGACAAAGACAGTGTCCATATTTATTTCATTGTCTGTCCTAATAATCACATCAAGAATACAAATTAACCTCAAACCTTACAAGAATGAGGCTCATTCAAGAGTCGAATATTTGGCTGTTATTAGTGGTGTGTTTGCTATAGTTACCGCTCTGTTGTATTCCCAAGCAGTACAGGTTCAATGGCTCAACGACTGAATCCTCATAGTACTGGTCTTTGCGAATCTAAGATTTGTATTTGAATGGGCATACCTTGTGCTGAAAATTTATAGAGATAAGCATGTTGTCATCCAAACAGTATGATTCGCTTTTATCTGTATAGATCTTCAAAGTCATTTCAAAGATTTTATGAAAGAAAAATGGGTAATTCACCATTGATAAATATTTAGAGTTGAGCAAGAGGAAAAGAAAGATGAAGAGACCAATCAGTTACCCCAGACAAGTCAGATACCTCATACTAGTCAATTACCTAGTCCCAGTCAACCTATTGAAGGAAGGATTCCATTGAGAAAGAGAAGAGTCCAGAACAAAGCTAAAAATATTGGTAAGCTAATAAATTAATCTTCAGTCAAGGCTAGAAAAAGTCACAGTAGAAGAAAGAAGAAGCATCATAAATTTGCACAGAGGAATGTATCAGACACTGACTTCGTTCGGACAGAGAACCGGTTCATGCAGAGTCAGTCTTCTAAAAATGTACCTGCTGGGGCTAACATGATCAAGTTCTAGTCCATTTTATCTTACTATATCTTCAATGGTTATTATCTACCTCGGGGTTTTGGGGTTTTGGGGTTTTGGGG